GTGGCGCGTACAAGACTGCGGGAAGAGGGTAATAAATATAATACATTGTTCCAAACGTTACACACCGTCTGGAAGGAGGAAGGGCGGGCTGGACTATATAGGTAAGTGGTACAAATATCTAGTACACAATGTGCAATTGCAAATGTACATACAGTATAGGTCATATCTATAGCACGCCATTTCAAAGTTATATTGTGTGCAACTTATGTTTATTTATTTATTTTTGAGAATTTTCAATTAAAATACAGTTCTTTCTCTTACAAACCCCATATAAACCCAAGTTTAAAAATTTGTAGAAAACTTCAAAAAAGTGCAACAAATTTTCACCTAAATTTCAAAATTTTTTCTCGGAAGTGTTTGAATTTTTCTGAATACACAGTTTTATAGCCCAATACATTTTAGTCTGATAATGTACATGTTTCAAGTGACTAAAAGATACCGTTGATTTTTTAGAATTTTTTTCGCCAAAGGTGTTGCGGTTTTCATCCATATACAAATAAATTGAGTTTATCCATTATATGAAAGCCAATGCGACAAAAAAAATTCTTAAAAATTAACGGTAATTCGTAGCCACTTGAAATTTGCACATTATCAGACTAAAATTGCAGTGGCTAAAAAAACTGTGTACTCAAATAATTTTAGCACTTCCGAGAAAAAAGTTTGAAACTTAGGTGAAAATTTGTTGCCATTTTTTGAAGTTTTCTACAAATTGTTAAACTTGGGTTTCTATGGGGTTTGTTAGAGAAAGAACTGTATTTTAATTGAAAATTCTTAAAAATAAGTAAATAAGCATATGTGGCACACAATGAAATGGCGTGCTATAGATATGACCGATACTGTATATATACATACACAGTACATAAATTTATATATGAATGTGTATTTGTATACTTCAATGCTTGACCACTCCTATGGACACTCGACTGCTTCGTTGTGGTATCTATTTTTATTTCGCTTATCTCTATGAAGTATACACAAGTCACACCCACATACATATTTACATATATATGAGCGAATATTTCACACCGTCTGTCGAATGCTTGTGTGCCCCTTACTGATTTATTTGTTTTGCGTTTTTTTTATTAGATGACAAACTAAAATTTTGAGCGCAAAATTTAACTTTTTACCTGCCAAAATGTATTTTTTTTTTATTATAAATTTCCAATTTTTTACTATAAATTTGTATTTTTTTATATTCATATGAGCTTTGTTAAAGTAACGTTAATTGATTTGTAAAATAACAATCAATGCCATAGTGATAGCTGTAGTCAGTCCAAACAGGCAAAAAAAAAAAATACTATGGTATTTAGTTGCGATCAAATGAATTTGCTAATCAAATGTGCTCACACCATGCATATCTGCATTTGATGTTTATTGGTTAGGTACAGTTTATAAGAAATGAGCCCTTGATATTTTCTAAGGATAAATATCCACTATAATTATTTAACTTTGTTAATGATTTTATAATATCATTACGAAACTATGTTTATGGTAGCCAAACTATCGATGTTTCCTTTTGTGAGGGCATATTGGGGGGACTGTCTTTTCGTCAACACAAATGTAGGGTCTAATATATGTTATCGAGTCGTGATATTTACAGTAAAAAAAAATAACCTTTAACGTGTACGAAGATGGAAAGAATTGCGATTAAAATTTCTGCACGTTTTTTGGATAGGTCTCCCACTAGAGATGGGCACGGGCCTAAATTTTCAGGCCCGGCCCGGTACGAGTGCTAAGTATCATATATTTTCTATCGGTTTCCAAATATTTATTTTTTTGTTTTTTTCTTATCAAAAGAGTTTTAAATATGTACTATTTTTTTTTTTTGTTTAAAAACAAAAGCTCATCTAAATTTTTAGTATTAGCAACGGGCTTTTTCGTGCCTTTTCGTGCTTTTATGAAATTTTACTGAACGCCCAGCCCGCACGAGTTCGTGCTGACAGCAAATATTCCGGCCCGTACCGGCGGGCTTACGCAGGGGCCCGTCGGGCCCGTGCCCATCTCTATCTCCCACTAAATTTTGCAGTTGAAACGTATGTTCCGCCTAATGCGAAAATCTTCAAGATCGGTGTAGTCTATAATAATTTTCGAATCGAAAATCAGGTTATAGAACTATGGTGGAATTCGATTAGAGATTGATGTGAAAACCCCTAGACACTAGAAACCAGTTAGAATTCAACGTTGATTATGATTAGGTACCTAACCTTTCCACGATATCGGGAACAAAGTATCTCTCTTATCAAGAATGCTACAATTCTGGACAGTTTTTCTAATCGCCTTCTAACTTTTTAATTAAAAAAAACACTTAAGAATGGGAATCGTTTTCAAATAGTTCACTAGCCAATTTGTTTGTTGGGAGGGTATACTTATATCCCGTACCACTGAGTTTTTGCGATATTACTCTGTCCTTACTTGTTTTCTGATATTTTTCTAATATAGTTTTTTCTTTCACTGTGTTTTCGTTCTGCACTTCGCAGCTGCATTTACAGA